AGGGAAACCCAACACCTCCCTGGCATGGGGGAGCCGAAGTTTCCACAGGGCTTCCCTAGAGCAGATACTGTTATTTAAAGGAATTGTGGTTACTGAGTCGAAAGGGAAGTAGAGAAAGCTTTTTTTTTTCTTTTTGTGGTACTGGGGATCAAGCCCAGGGCCTTTTGAGTTGAGCTACGTTCAGCCCTTTTTGTTTTTTTGTTTTTTTTTTTTCTTTTTTTAAAAATTTTGAGTCAAGGTCTTGCCAAGTGTCAAAGTTGCCCAGACTGGGCTCAAACTTGTGAGATCTTCCTGCCTCAGCCTCCCAGAGTGGTTGTTGTACAGTCATACACGGCTGAGCAAGCTCTTCTTTTCCATCTTCCTTTACCAACCAAGAAGAGGCCACTCAAAGAAGTGAGCAACCTGTGACTCCTAAAGATATAAGGAACACAAACACCTCAAGATGGCCACAGCTTAGGATCAAATCTTCATTTATGCCCAGAAAGAATTTACTCATAAGTCGAACCCTCTCCGTTAACAGCACCACTATCAGCTTCCAGCTGTTCACTTTCCTTATGAGAGAAATCGGGAACAAAATCTACAACTGCGAAAGCAATCTGGAAAGTCACAGCTACTGCAAAAAACCATAACTTGGTTTTAGTTCTTAGTGAGGCAGGAAGGTAGGGCGTGGCTAAACCTAGCTGGGAAAGGGGGCGGGACCAGATCCCTGACACATGCGCAGAACAGTTCTCAAAGCCCCGCCCTGGGAGTTCTCTCGAAAACTGGAGCAGGTTTTCTATAGGAGGCCTATACCTAAAGTCAGACTGAGGGGTGGGTGACACGAAACGGACAGAATGCTTTGAGTTTTGGCTACTGTGTTCTCTCCTGCCTGGTGGCCACCACCCTCGCTCTGCAGGGTGTATTTCTCTTCCTACTTTCCTTGGCCCAAACTCGCTGGGCAGGGCCTGTTTCTTGTCCTACCTTTAATAAAACATTGCTATTATTTGCGCTTGTCTTGGCCAACTCTTTGCTCAGGACAGAAAGAACCTAGAAACCACCTCCAGGAGGAGACCAGCACCCGGAAACCCGGTAACATTAGCACAAATTTCTGTTAGTATTACAGGTAGCTAAATTAGGTAGAAATATTATAGGCAATCAGACAGGGCTGGGCCCTCAAGAGGTCTATGCAGAAGACAGTTGTGGCTGGAGGCGCATTCACTGAAGGCAGGTTTCAAGAAAAAGAACTACTCACCCATATGCCTCCCCCAGGGATGAACAGCAATGACTGATATTCTAAATAGGCATCAATCACCTTACTATACTTGTTGTATACTTATTTGTGGACCATAGTTTTGTCCCACCACACACCCATCCAATGATTCACCATTGGATCAATGTCACCTAAGCGACTATACTTGTAATCTTGATTGATTACAGTTCCGTCCCGCCTTAAACCCACCACACCTTGTGGCTTTGCTCAATACACAACCCACTTTCCAGGCCCCCTTCTGTCCCTCTCACACACAAGCTCTCTTTCTCTCAATAAATTCTTCCTACTCTTAACCTCTATTGGTCCTTGAACTCATTCCTCGATTTCAGAGAACAGGAACTTGGCGTGTCTGACAGCTAGCAGGCTGGGCATTTCTTTCCCCCATATCCTTAGGATCAAATGACTATTTTTTACTTCCTTTCAAAAGGTTTTCAACCCATTTCTTTTCTTTTTTTTTTTTCCGATTCCTGTTTGATTGAATAAGAACATTTGTTTGGAAACTGGTGGTGAGCCTGCACAAGCAGTGCCCACTCGGGGTGCAGACAAGTAGATCACAGGGCGCTATTTCTTAGCTACTCCCTTCCAGGTGCCAGGCTGGGGGCCTCCTGCTGCTCCCTGGTCGGGCTCTGCCATCTCTAGAGTGATGCCCCTCTCCCGGCTCCCCTTCCTTCCTGGGTTAATTCTCTCCCCATCTCAGCTCACCTTCATTCCTTCTAGGGAACCTGTCCAGCCACTGTGCCTTCTGCCATCATCTGAGTGGCATTCTGGCATTTCAGGTCCTCAGATTCTTCTCTGCATGTCCCTTTGCTCCTTGTCATTGTCATCCTGTGACTTCTCCCTGTGCGCCCCTGGTGGGCTCTCTGAGGGCCTGGCTCTCACGAAGGTGCAGCGGGGCACAAGTTTCCTGTTTTCCATCTCCAGTGCTGACCTCCTTGCCTCTTTCTTTCTGTTTTTCTGTGTTTGGTTCCTCTTCCTCCTCTGGTTTCTTAAGAAGCTTCATCCTCATTTCTGTCTCAACAGTTGTCCTTTGTCTATCTGCCTCTTTCCTCTTGCATCTTTCTTCTCCTCTTTCTCTTTTTTCCTCCTCCCACAAGCGTTTCTTTTCTAACTCCCTCCTCCTTCGTTCTTCTCGCTTCTCCTCTCGTATTCTCTGCTTTTCTAATTTTCTGTTTTTAATATAGTCCAAAAGAGGTGTGGTTCTTCTAGCAACAAGTTCTCCTGTCACTGCCTCTCTCTCTACCAGAAGAGTTTCAGGATTGCCACTGGGTCTCTCTTCTTCCATGCTGTAAGTTTCTAAAAACTGCTTATACTCTGGATCATCTTCGATGCTCCCCGCCTTGGCATCTCTCTTCTTCAGCTTCTTCTTGACTATCTTCTGGAACGGGGCAAACTCTACCACTGCAGGGTACTCCAGGCCTTTACTGCCCACGAAGACATAGCCATCAAAACGATCTCTGAGCAGAAGGATGTCATCAGGATTCCTAAAGTTAGTGTATGCTCTTGAGTACAGATGACGATAAAGGCTGCGATCCACATGCAGTGGGGGCACCCGGGCGGAGGCTGGCTGGGTGACCAGCCGCTGTCACCCCAGGTGGTCCTGCAGCCGCTGCCTCCTGGCCTCACAAAGGAGCAGCTGGAGGAGCAGCTGCGCGCCAGCTGCCCGCGCACAACGACTTCAACCCATTTCTAATAATTAGGCCTTCTCAGGTTCTGAGGAGTTGATGAGCGAGAAAAGTTCTTGAATACACATGGAAAAAAATTTAAATTCTCCTTCCTTTGTCTCTGGAGCTCTAAGATCCAATGAAGTAACTCATCAGATGAAATACGTAATGGCCAAGATGAAATTTTTGGGGGCTTTCCCCTCCCTCTTTTTTTGGCAGTTTCTACCCTTTTGTTAGGCCCACTTTACTAGTTCTGCATCACTGACCCTGGCCTGAGAGGTCACACCTTATGACCTGGATATAAAACCCTCACCCTGGCCTATCACCTTGTCTCTAGCCTCCTCTTATCTATCTCTATTCCCCATTTCTATTCCCCAATAAATATTCCTACACTGTTCCTTACAATATCATTCTTTGACTTCAGGGAACAAGAACTTGGCCTATCGGACAGCTAGCGGGTTGGAGTCAGCTACACTTCCCCTATATCACTTGAAGGTCCTATATCAAGACCATGTCCAGAATACAATCATTTCCTTCCTAGTTACTGAGTATCAGAAAACAGAAATGTTGGGGCTGGGGATTTAGCTCAGCGGCACAGCACCTGCCTGGCAAGCGCAAGGTCCTGAGTTCGATTCCTGGTACCAGAAAAAAACTAAAAAAAAAAAGAAAACAGAAATGTATCCATTTGAAGATAGCTTCTAGTTTCTCATTTTTAAAAACTGCCTTGTAAAAGAGATAGGGACTTTTAGACTGAAGTTAAAGTGCCTGACCTGTGAACCTATAAAAACATAAAACCAATCACAACTCCTTACGGGACAGAGAATGCTGGAAAAGCGAGATTTCTTCTCGTGATTTCTCCTTTACTCACTCAAGCTGAGCTTTTTTGGGGGGGTTTTTCTCCGGTACCAGGAACCGAACTCACGACCTTGCGCTTGCCAGGCAGGCGCTTTGCCGCTGAGCTAAATCCCCAGCCCCTCAAGTTGAGCTTGATCAGAGTGTATTTTTCTAGACAAAATTAAATAAGCACGAGCAAACCACAAACAGCATGCGTGAGGAATAAAGGTTGCTAAGTTGTTCACTACGGCTCATTTCCATAATCTTTGAAATACAAAATACATAGCTTTCACTGTGTTACTGCAGAGCTGCAGTGGGAATTTTTGCTGAAAAAGCAATCACTTCCCTATCTCTTGCTCTCGGTGAAATCGTCGGGGATGCCGTGCGGATGAGGGTAGCGGACGCCAGCGCCGCACCGCCCTCCTTCAAAACGAAACGCGGCTTATCCCTCCCCAGAGTTCACACTGCATTAGAGAAATCTCTCAATTCCAAGATGCTGAATTGCGCACGCCGCTCGTGCATCCTTCCTTTTGTTTTAGGGAAAAGCTGCTTTGGATGTCATTCGAACCTTTCCCGGTGTAAAGCCAGGAAAATGAAACAACACACTGAACAGTAGTTATCTACAGCTCAGAGGTACCGAGATGCTCAGCGAAAGCTAATTATCTTTGATTAGCATTAGAATACAAGCCACCAGGGTCCTCCGTAGCTTTAATAAATGAGTGTCCTTAGCCTTCTAAGATCTACATGTGACTCCCGAGTTTTCATTTTCTTTTGCAACTGGGAATCGAACTCTGGACCTCCCGCTCGGAAGGCGGGCGCTGTGCCGCTGAGCTATATCCCCAGCCCTAAAGATCTGTAACTCCTAGACGATTCCACAGGCTTTTAAGGGCTAAGAGCCGGGTTCCCTTCACCTCCCTGCACGTCCTCCCACTTCGCTTACACACACCCAACAGGAACCCCCCTTTACAGCCGGGCCCCCAGCCGTCCTCTCCCAAATCGTCCCCCAGCGGCTTCCTCCCATATCGCGAACACCAACGCAAAACGCCCAGAGAGGGCGCATCCCGCCAGCGGAGGTTGAACAGCAGCCGGGGCGGAAAGGAAGGCCAGAAGCTCCCGCGCTGCCGCAGGGCCAGCCACCCGGGCCGCCCTTCCTTCATCCCCTTTCTGCCAATTTTTTTTTTTTTTTTGGCGGGGGGAGTCCGCTCGGACGCTCACACGCAGCTTTGCCACACGCGAAAGAAATTCCAACCCGTTACCTTCATGGTGCCGCTGGCCGCGAGGCCCCACGCGTCCCAGCTCGCGGCCGGGTGGCCGGGTGGGCGGCGCAGCGCGGTCCTCTCCCC